AAGGAAGGAAGGAAGGAAGGAAGGAAGGAAGGAAGGAAGGAAGAAAATATAAGTGATTTTAATATCAGAGTTAAAAGAATTCTGCAGACATAAAAGACACCAGCTCAAAATGAGGAGATGAGTTTATCTGACTTCATTAAAGATGAGCCTTATGTTCATCACCAGAGATCACGATGAGAGAACAAGACAAGGTCCAGACACACTGGTTGGGACTATGTGTAATTCAGGATACATAACGAACTTCCCTAAGCCAACAAGGAAACAGTAACAGGAATATGAGCAAAAGTAGGCCAGGCCTCAGATAAGAAAGACAATGGTAAATCTGAACACAGAGTCGACCTTGTGAGTCATCTGAGACCTTCAAGACCACACAAGATCTTTCGCAGGTTTGTCCAATGCAATGTTGTTGTTGCTATTAACTGCCATTGAGTGGGTTCCAATTTATGGTGGTGGTGGTGGTGGTGATGGTGTTCTGTGGAGTCAGTTCCAGTCAGGTTTCTAATGCTATAAATCTTAACAGGAGCAGAAAGCCTCATCTTTCTCCTATGGAACAATTGGTAGTTTTGAACTGCTGACTTTGAGGTTAGCAGCCCAACTTGTAACCACTACACTACCAGAGCTCCTTTTCTGACTCAAAGAGACCCTGTATAAGGTTTCCGAGGAGCGGCTGGTGAGCTTGAACCACCAACCTTGCAGTTCAAACTGACCTTGCAGTACAGGGTATTAACCCACAGCACCACACCAGGACTTCGTACAGTGCAATGATCCCTGTCAAGTTGATTCGGACTCAGATCTACACTACAGAACAGCATAGAACCTCCCCAGAGAGTTTCCAAGGTGGCCGATTTTTATGGAAGCAGACTGCCTCCTCGTTCTCCCATGGAACAGCCGGAGGGTTTGAACTGTATTTTGATTAGCAGCCCTGTGCTAAATTACTATACTACCAAGGATCCTGCCCAATGTAATAGTACATCATTTGATTTCTTGACTGCTGCTTCCATGGGCGTTGATTGTGGATCCAAGTAAAATGAAACCCTAGACAACGTCAATATTTTTTCTGTTTATCATGTTTATTGGTCCAGTTGTGCAGATTTATGTTTTCTTTCAGTTGAGGCGTAAGACCCATTGAAGGCTGTAGATTTTGATCTTCATCTATTAAGTGCTTCAAGTCCTCTTCACTTTCAGCAAGCACATTTTTAATAGCTTTAAGGATTCATTTTGCAATTATTTTTCGTGTGTGTGTGTGTGGAGGGGAGGAGTAGGTAGTAAATTTTTGTTTCAGGCAAAGCACGTCAGAGTTTAGAAAAAGAAACACTGTGCTCTCAGTCTGAGGTGTTGTTTTGCTCCCTGTACCACCCAGAAGCAATACCCCGACCCTCTCCAGCCACCTGCCCACTGTCTCTAGAGCAGCCGGAAGGCTTGTCTCACCTAGGGCCAGTAAGAGTGTTGGGGATGGTCCCAGCACTGCCCCCAGATGGCATGAAAGGGCAGCAAGTGGAAAGAGATAAGAACAAAAGGGGCAGCTGATCAAAGAGAAACGCAATGTCGGCAAAGCCCATCAGGTCTGAGAGCTAAGAGCTGAGCCTGAAGGACATGTCTTGTCCAGTTGGCCCAAGACAGGGGGCGTTCTGGGGTGCACAGTGTT